AATAAAAGAGGACATAACAACATAACAATACAGGTCAAAACATGACAGTTTCAGCAACCTACTTAAATGTAAGAGGATTTCTAGAAGACCACTTATTTCAGGAGGAGAGAAGAGGAGATATAAACACTGAACCTTAAGGCTTTGTCCATAATTTTTGCATTTTAAGTCTGACAATTCTGTGTCATCTCTTTTAACCCTTGCCTGGACTGTTGCACTAGATTGCAATTTTCATACATGGTGGGGAAGAAAGGTCACACAACCAAAGTGGGTAAGCCTGCTTTCTGTAGCCACAGAAAAATACCTCAGGCTGGTGACTTGCAAAGAGAAGAGGCTGGTTGGGTCACTAACTGTCAGTTCTGGATATCCAAGAGCAGAGTGCTGGCTTCTGCTTGTCTCTGGTGAGGGCATCAGAGTAGGTGGCACCACAGTGGTGGGGACACATGAAGGACTAGGATCACATAAGAACCATATTGATCCTTTCTGAGGGCAGTGTTCCCAGGGACCTAACTGCTTGTCACCCAGACTAGCTCTTAAGGCCACTGCTTCCTCTCAGCACTGCCACATCAGGGACCAAGCTTCCAAGGCTATAGTATCAGGGATACACTCAAGCCATACCCAGACCAGGGGGAAACCACAGGCCTTTCAGTTCATATTATGTTTACTTCTCAACATTTTTTTTGTGTCATGCAAGCTAAATATCTCTACTTTTCACTATTTCAATGTTTATATAGCATTTGGAGTCCTGGAGCAAATTAGCTCAACTTCATAACAATGACACAAAAATTGTACAGTGCTTGGAAATGTGTGCTGAATGGAATCTCTAGAGCATAGGGTTTGCACTAAACCTTCCAAGCGGAGAGAGAGCTCATTCTGGAAAGTTCACCATCATACAGCTCCAACACCAGAACTTATGGTTCCCAGACCATCAACTATAGAAATGTGGATGGAGACCAAGAGGAAGCTGGAAGTTCCAGCAAGATGGCAGACCTTGGAGGAGGCCCAGGGAAAGACATGAATGGAACAGAGGGCTGAGAGTCAAGCTGAGCTTTCCCTGCTCTGGGATGTGACTTCTATAGAACCTGAAAGGAGAGGGTGTGGATGTTGCATGTGGCAGGGAGAGACATGGTTTCTGTCACATTTGAGAGTCTGTTAGATATGACATATAAGAGCTTGGACTTGGGCCATGGCTGGGCAATGGGCCCAGTGCTGAGAAGCAGTTATACTTACACAGGTGGAGAGCAGACTGAAAAGTGTGGCAAGGGGCTGCACATCCGCGCATGGATGCTTGAGGAGAAATTATTGAAAGTCAAGCAGAAGGAAAATTCAGGGGCATTTGATTTAACCTCCCTCTTCACCACCTTTTCCAGGATACACCAATAAACTACTTCTAGACTTTTATTAACAGGAGCCAGAGGCCTTAAGGATGTTGGATGGCATTTGCATGCATCTTAAGCCTGTCTCCTTGTACAGTGTACCCATCCACCTCAACTTTCCCAGAAGCCAATGAGACAGGTCTGCTCCTACTCACTCTGGATGCTCCTTCAAGCCTTGAGGCATCTATCAAGTGCCCCTCTTCTCTCCTCCACATGTCCACCTCCACCAGCTCCTCCACAGTCCCTCAGGGGCTGTGTTTCCAGACACCAGCAACCTGCTCATCTTCTCCAAAGTATTTTGGCTTTTTCATCTCATTCTGTCCACTGCATCTGTTTCTCCAGGTGTGGAGGGAGAGGGTTTCTAAACAAGAAAGGTCATTTCTGTGTGGCAAGACCTTAGCAACTGCTTAGCCCTGATCTCCACCTGGTTTTTGAGAGATGCGCACATTTTTTAATTACTCAAAGAAAGTTCTAGATGGAATCATCAAAATCATCTGTGTTAAACTGCTGCCCAGAATTCCCACCTGGTGATCATCTGTTTGGGACCAGGGTTTTGTCCCAGGGCTTTTGGGGAACTCAGCACCTGTTTGGTTATGGGAAATCCTAGCAATGGGTGGAATTACTGGAATGAAAGGAGAGAAGTTGTCTTTTTTTAAAGAATGTGTCAAGGTCAAGAATAGGAACCAGCTATTTGAATGCAACCAGGTGTGAACTATTTCTGAGAGCAGCATTCTGATCCCACCCTTCCCACAGCAGCCCAAGGGTGATGAATATGGTGCCTTCTCTTGAAAACCATCAGAAGCAGGGTGCTCACTACCACAGAAGAACACACACCCTTTAGTTGGACACCGCAATGACTTGAAACACCCAAGTGTTCTTGGAACACCCCAATGACTGCAGCGATTGAGCTAACGAGGTGCTCACACCAAAGGGATCTTGGGCAATAAAGTCATTGGTTTCCTCACCACACAGCCTCTTGGAAGAGGTACTCTGCCATTCCTATGAAATTCCTGCTCCTTGCATCCAGGAGAGCAGAGGAGGAGCAGTTTCCTGCGTGTTCCATAAGCTAGTGACTACATCACACAATTCTGACACCGTAAACAAGAGCCCTCGTAATTGCTTATGGTTTAAATTTCCTTAGCAACTACCCATATATTTCATCCCTATTTGATATGGGCTTTTAAACTACGGCTGAGTGATATCAACAAGGCGATAGCTGTGTTCAACTCCAGAACTGCTCTCAGCCACCTCCCCATTGCTCCTGGCCTGGTGCAGTGACCTGGTGCCAGCAAGGAGGTGGGGTCCTGGCAGGCAGCCAAGCCAGAGAGTGCTGCCAAGGGGAGAAGTAGGTGAAGTTAAGGACAAAGTCACAAAGTCCATTGTACTTGGGGACCCAGTGCTCCTCAGAGCAGAAAGGAAGAACTGGGAATGGTTGCTGTTAATTCTAGTATTTCTCTATCAAGGGACCAGGTAAATGGGAGAAAACTAGACAGTCTTTAAAAGGTAAAGAATATTTTAGTTTTCAAAAGATAGACTTGGGATAAAAGTTTAAAAAATCCCTGTAGAAAGTTCCAACACAATCACTGTCTGTAGATGGCTTAAAATAATAGGCCGTCAACCAAGAAAAGTGCCAGAGGTGTTATGCATAACAATACGCAATGTGTTTGTATATTTGTCATATCTCCTGTTGTTCTGGATTTTTCATTTTTAAAAATCTTCTTTAGTTCAATTTTGCAGTACACAGTGATTATACTCATCATGGGGAGATGGTGTATGTACACAACACATCCTAATTTGTTTTCATCCTCTTTCCCTCCCCTCCATTGTCTCCTCTCCCTCCATCTGTCAGTCCTGTTCTGGACTTTTCAGTTGACTACCATCAACTGAAACTAGTCATTTGAGAACTGAGCCATGCACTGTCCAAGGCAGTGTGTAAAAAGAGAAAGACCTCACAGCATGTCCCACTAGGGTTTGGCTTGTATTCCCTCAAGTTCTATTTTCCTGCCTGTGACACTGGATGATAACATCTTCCTCATAGAGATACAAGAGCCTGGTGTGCTAAGGACCTGGCCAGAACACACCACACCCTGTGATTTGCCCATCCAGAATCCTCTAGTGGCCACCCCAGACCCCATGTTTCTGCTCGAGGGTTTCAGAGTCCCAAGAAGCAGCAGATTGTTGGGATTTCAGTGTTGCTATTTGCTTTTATATCTGGGCCTATTTTCACCAAATAATTCCAAGTCCACTGTGAGTCCCAGAAAGAAATGAATCAGAGGGCCACACCAGGGGTCCCTAGTCCCCAGGCAGTGGGTTGGTTATCAGCCCATTGCCTGATAGGAACCAGATCACACAGCAGGTGCAGACACGTGGGAAGAAACAGAAGCGTCCTCTGTATTTCCAGTCACTTCCCCTGGAAGCATCACCACCTGAGGCCCACTTCCTGTGGGATCAGTGTAGCATTAGATTCTCATAGGAGCTTGAGCCCTACTCTGAACTGTGCATGTGAGGGATCTAGGTCAGCTTTACTGTATGAGAATCTAACCCTGAAACCACCACCACCCCAGCATTCCTCTCCAACTCCTCATCCCCACTCCACGTTCCTCCCACCCCATGGAAAAATCACCTTCCCCAGAACTGATACCTGGTACCAAACAGTTAGGGACCATAGATCTGGACTAGGAACAGAACAAGAGGTCAGAAAATCTAAGCCAGTTCCTTGTGTAGACTTATGTCCCTCATGGGCACTCCTAATGCAAATGTCCTCATTACCCTGCTAGAAAGACAACTTTACATGCTAATCACCAAGTACTCAGCCACACAGACTGCCCTCCACAGCTTCGCAGGAGGAAGAAGGTAAGGGAAATAGTGCCACATTCCCATCTGACAGAACAACCCATCACATTCCCTATGGTGGGGAGGGTCTCCCTCCAGAAGGCTGAGGATGGAGACCATTAACATTCCCTGGGCTGCCATGTTCTGCCAACTCTTTGCTGCATTTATGAATTGGGGAGTAATCTCCCATCTCAAGAGATCAGGAGAGGCATCTGTGAGTCGGACTTCTAGGAGTTTACAAATTCTGTTTTGGTTTTTCATTGCCTCCAGCTTGAAAGCCAGCTACTGATAACTCCCTTCTTATGGTGAGTTCTTGTTGGCCACTCTCTCAGTGGCCAGAAGATGCACACCGCATAGTGCAATGGAGCAAGAACTTTCTCAGCTAAGCACATCTTGGCTCCAGGAGTGCAGCTCCCTGAAGACACACAGGAGAAGCTCCTGACCTTAAAGGGCAGGAACTCCAGCAGAGCACTGTCTAGTGATCTCCAGGACCACAGTGACCTCATTAGTTCTGTGTCATATTTAGATGGGTTGCAAATCTGTGCCCCTAATTTAACCATGAACCAAATAGTGACATAGATGACATCGAGCTCCTGGCTGCCCTATAAACCATTGCAAGTGGTAAAAATAAACAGGATATGCAAATAGACACCCTAAGTCAATAACTGCCTTTGCCTCTAGGTCTCCAGATTTGCTGCTTTTATCCACCGATGTTTGTTAACATTCAGTGATTTGAAAAGAAATCTCATAGCCACGGCTGTGTCTCAATGCTTGCTTTCCCTTTATCTGTTTCAGATCTATCAGCACTCCTACACTGGATATTATGTCCTGAGCAAAATTCCTCATGGGTAAGATGATTTTTCATTTTCTTTTAATTAGAACTCTGTGGAACACAGTGAGGCACAGAACATTGACCGCCAGCTCAGCCCTCAGGGCAGGCACAGAGCATTTTGACTTCTACAGAGAAGGGTTCAGATCTTGTTGAAGCCAAGGTGACTCATCACTAGGTAACTAAGGACAGAAAGGTCACTGGAGTCCACCAACTGGCCCATTAGTGAAGGCTTCTCCCCAGAACTGCTCTGGTCACTTCTTGTTCCATACCCACAACCCTTATGACTGTAAAAGGCAAGTTCCCCTGTGTCTCCTCAGTGGGACTAAAACTGCAGCTTGGTTGTGAATTCCCAGGGGCCTACTGGTCACATTCTCCCTAGTACAGTGGTTATCATGGCCAGTCTCAGGGACAAGCAGTGGCCTGGGACTCCCATGAAACTACTGGTCACATCCTTACTGGCTAAAGAGAAGTCTCTGCCGCTATTCCACACATCACTTCTGTCTGGTGTGTTTGTCATATTAAAGGGTCTACTTTTGTGACATGTGTAGCAGTGCCTTGGGAAAAGGGCTGGTGTTGGAAACAAAGAGCCAGCCCTAGAGAAGTCTGCATTTGTGGTTTATGAAGGCTCCGTGTAGTTCTTCTCCCAGAAGTGAGAGCTCCACGTCCACTTGCGGAGATACCTGCTGCCTCTTGACCTTGGGTTGTACTGCTCAGCTCAGCGAGTCTCTCCCAAGTACATGGCTGGTACCCAAAAGTATCTTGGGGAGCAGAAATGAGCATGAAGCTTTTTTAGGGTTCGGTGTGGTCACTGATCCCTCCTAGCATTCCCATGCATGACCAGGACCTCTGCCTTCCCTCTCAAGGCCCTGGCTGAGTCAGACACTACATAGAAACCAGAAGTATGACTAGAAAAATCCAGCAGGGGTGGTTTTTTGTTGCTTCCATTTTTACCTTTCTTTCTGTCCCCACCTTCTCCCTTCTCCTCTCCAATTTTCTTATCTCCCCATCCCCTTGATCTCTGCCTTTCTCTTTCCACCCTCATGCTTTCTGCCATCACACTCTGGAAAAACTAGGACATGTGCAGAATGGAATGGAATCACGCTGCTGTCCATGTCCCCTGTGAATATCCAGGCTGAGGCAGCCTCATTTTCCCAAGCTAATTTAAACAAACAGCAGGAACTGCTAAAAAGTATTGTTCCAGAGAAGAACGTTAATCACAGCATGAGTGTTTACAACTGCTGCTTTCTGTTTTCCACGATGCTCAGGTAGAATCTGGGCATGTGCTTAGAAAACAAACACAGATAAAATAATTTCACTTTACTTCCAGCACAAGGGACATAAATTCTTGCAGATATACAGTAAAGTATACTTGTTTGTATCTTGCAGCATAGTCTAAAAATTAAGCCAAATAAGCTAAAGATAGCCTGTCTTACTGAAAATAAGGTATCAATAAGAATCTTCCATTAAAAGCATCTTTCAAATAGAAACGCAAGGATTCTTCAGCAAAGATGAATTATTCTGCTCGTTTTCAAGCAGATAGACATCTTCAAAGGTCACGATGGGCATGAATATAATTATGCCTGGAGATTTATCTACCCCTTCTGGGAACAATAGAATTTGCTGAAGATGATGGATATTTCATTCCATCTTATATAAATTTGTTAAACTCTAAACTCTAAAAGCAGCCTATGCCTGACATACTGTGATAATAATAAACTATACTGGACGGCATTTGGAAGACAATGCTGCCGTATTCCCAAGAATATGGCAGAAGAGTCACCAAACACACCAGGAAATGAAGGGCAAGAGTCCCTGTTAGGCTGGGTTTCCGCATGTGTTCACAGGAGTCTTGCAGTAATCAGCTTCCAGAACTTTTAAAATTCTGATAGTAATAGTGATCACCATCATTCCCTGACCATGTTTGGTGGCTGTGTTTGCTCTCAATCAACAACCCTGCAAAAACAAACATCGTGCTCTTCACTGTAAGTGGATCCTAGAGAGGTGACATCACCTGCCCAGCATATTTCTGCAGGCACTCAGAAAGGCTGAGATCCCAGGGCAGCGCTGGCTGACTCCAAACTCCATGTTATTAAATAACCTCTTTGGGTCAAGACAAAGTACAATGAGGCTTAGCAAGGCCAAGAATAAACATTACATCCGGGAAGGTCAGAATCTTAGTGAAGAGCTGGTTTATGGCTTTCCCAAGCTTCCTTATGTGACTGGAAGATGTAGTGATTCTTGTCCCATTTGCAGCCTCTGCTGGCTGTTGAGATCACTGTCACCCTATTGCCACATAAATGGACATTCCTGTGCCAGCACAGCCTTTCCCCACCTTCTAGTTCTTCCTCTTTGTCATAAGATCCTTGATTGGAAGGAAATTCACTAATTTGTTAACCTCAAATGCTGTCAAAATTTTATTAGTATTAATGAGTCCATGGATTACTGAACCGAGCCACCCTTCTGCCTGGGGCTTTGACAACTGCAACGCTGGATGGGTTTCTCTCCCTTCCCTGGAAGCTGCACCTGCAACCTGGGCATGGCAAGCAGGAGCATAGCCCAGGGGCTCATTACCTACGTTACCGGTGGGTCTGAGACAGAGGAGAACACTTGCTCATTTTGTAAAAATAAAAATATCCTAGTAACATATTTAAGATTACATTATGCACATACATTATATGAATAACTGCATTATTCATATGAAAGTGAGGAAACATTTCTTGATGACTCTAAAGACTGGGGTCTGTACCTTTCTGCAGTCTCATCTTTCCTTCCTCACCCCTTTCCCTGGATTTAAGCCAGAGGTCATTCCATCTCCACGGGGGATTATCTGTCATTTATGATGAGTCTTTTCTTACTCTCAAGTTTTCCAACCAGTTGCAGCAAAGGGTCAGTTCTCTCCGTCGTCTAACTCCTGGTTCCCTTCCTGTTTGCAAATAGCAGAAGAGAGTTTGAGGAGGAGGTGTCTTTCTCGTTTTTTTTTTTCTTTGTTTGTAGTACTGAGGCTTCAACCCAAGGTCTTTGCACTGAGCTATGTTCCCAGCCCCTTTTTATTTTTTGATTTTGGGATAGATTCTCTCTAAGTCACCCAGGCTGGGCTCAACCTTGTGATCCTCCTGCCTCAGTCTCCAAGCATGTTGCTTGTCTCTCTTGTACAGCTCTGCACTGTGCAGGTATAAGGCAGTAAAATGCATGCTAAAAAATAATCAATTTTACTTCTATTTGAATAAATAAATTTTCATAAAAGACACATGTCCTTTTAATAACGCAGTTCTTACTGATATGACTCTGATTATTTTTTTGGTCCCTGGAGCTACAGTCATGCTGAATTCATTTTGCATGTAATGGCTGAAGCGACAACACAGTCCCCAGATGACTAAATTTTCATTTATTCAATGATCAAGTACCTAGGAATAGGTTGGTTTGACTTTCACATATTGAATTTTCAGAACTGTATTTTTTTCTACTTTATTAAAACACTGAATTTATTTTTCATGTGTATCTTTATCTCCCTTACTTTCCTGAATGTGCCCACCCCTGCTATTATGCTGTCCTTCCAGAGCATTCCAATGTACCTAGACCCAAGCAGAGGATGACAGATGTTCTGGATGGCACATTCCTGCCTTTGAAACCTGGATGACATTTGTCAAACCCAGCAGGGAAAGTTCTCATTTTGCACTATTAAGAGGACAGCTATATACTAGCTGTTATGGAGCAAAATAAGACAGAAAATTTTAGCAAACTCTTTAAACAATTTTCTGAAAGATACTTCCTCCCCTGCTGGAGGCCTTGGGTGGCCTCCTGGTCAGTCACCTGGAAGCCGTAACTGAGGAGCTTGGCTCCTGCGTTAGGGGGAGAGGTACCTGGCTCTGTGCAGTTTGCCTTTAACATCTACAGAATGAGGTCCTTTTGTTTACTTTAGGAGTTCCTTCCTTTTTTGAAGAATTGACCTTTTGATCTTGGTGTTAATGCTTTTTTGTTTAAACCAGGGATTGAACCCATGACCTTGCACTTGCCAGGCAGGCGCTTACAACACCGAGCTAAATCCCCAGCCCTTAATGCTCCTGAGTCTTTCCCACTTGGGTCCGATTTTTGTGTATCCTGTGCTGATCTATCTCATACACATTTCTTCACTGGCAATTTTCCTTCAGTTTTCTCATCAGAATCATTATCTTTTTCAGCAGCAACTTCTTTTTTTTTTTTTTTTTTTCTTTCTTATAGAACTTTGCCACCACTCCCAGGGAAGATCATTTTTCAATTATAGTTAAGAATCTGATATCCTTCTCTTTCTCTTGCTCTTCTTCTACAGCTGCTAAATGCCACCCACCTCCACCTTATGCCTTGGGACATAATCACAAAGCTCCCAAAGGAAACCACTGAAGCACAGACAGTTTCAAAGCTGCCAGTTTGGAGTATGTCAGACTCAGATCAATAATAGAAGAAAAACTGAGAAATACCGAAGGTATTTCTTTCCATATCAGGCCATCTTCTGTGGATAATTTTGCCCTAAATTTCTTGCTTGCTGCTATACTTTAGGTATCAAACAAAAATGTACAAAAGTTTTATTTCTTTAGAAATGTAGTAGACCTTTTAGAGTTCCCTCTTGCATCTACTAAAATAAACTGAGTCACAGGATTTACTGCCTGGACCTACAGTCTAACTTTCCAGTCTCAGATGCAGAAAGGCTTCCATTTATTGAGAGATCTGGATACAAACACGTGTACAAGATCCATCCCTCTGCCTGGAAGCATGACACTGATATTAGGGACTTCACATCTGTGGTCATGAAGACCTCAAGCTGTGTCCATACCACCACCACTGCTGACTTTTGGCTATGTCACCTGGAGAGCTGTTTCACTTCCACAGGCTTAAGGTTCCATATTTTTGACAGGTGACGATAGCAGTGCTGACCTCTCAGGCTCCCTGTGAGAAGTGAGTCTGCTGATACATGCAAACTTCACAGAACTGAATCATGCTACTTGATGCTGCAGTGTGTGCACAATATGTATTTGTAGCCTT